CACCACAATAAAACAACAACCCACTTAAGACATGGGCCAAGGGCCTAAACAGACATTCTTCAAAAGAGGAAATCAAAATGGTCAACAGACACATGAAAAAATGTTCAGGATCACTAGCCATCAGGGAAACGCAAATCAAATCCAGAATGTGGTTTCGCCTCACCCAGTTTAGAATGGATTTCATAGAGAAATCAATGAACAACAGATGCTGGTGAGGATATGAGGAAAAAGGCACACTAATGCACTTTTGGTGAGAATGCAAACTGGAAAAGTCACTATGGGGGTTGGGGCTGTGGCACGGCAGGTTAACGCCCTGGCCTAAAGCACCAGCAACCCATATGGGTGCCAGTTGGAGACTAGCTCCTCCACTTCTGATCCAGCTCTCTGCTATGGCCTGGGAAAGCAGTAGAAGATGGTCTAAGTCCTTGGACCTCTGCACCCATGTGGGAGACCTGGAAGAAGCTCCTGGCTCCTGGCTTCAAAACAGTGCGGCTCTACCCTTGTGGCCAACTGGAGAGCATACCATTGGATGTAAGACCCTCTCTCTCTCTCTCTTTCTCTCTCTCTCTCTCTAAATATAGCCCTACCCTATGACCCAGCCATCCTACTCCTCGAAATTTACCCTAGGGAATTTAAATTGGCAAAAAAAAAGAGCTCAATGTTTATCTCAGCTCAATTAACAATAGCTAAGACTTAGAATCAACCTAGTTGCCCATCAATGGAAGAATGCTTAAAGAAATTATTGGATATTTACTCTATAGAATACTAACAGCAGATAAAAAAAAAAGAATAAAAGTGAAATCCGGTCATTTGAAACAAAATGGAGGAATCTGGAAAACCTCATGCTGAGTGAAATAAGCCATTCCCAAATGGATAAATATCATAGGTTCTCCCTGATCCGTGACAACTAACAGCACCAAAGGGGAAACCTGTTGAAGTGAAATGGACACTATGAGAAACAGTGACTTGATCAGCTCCTGTCCTGACTGTTGAGGTACAATGTCATACTTTATCCATTTTAGTATTTTTTGTTCTAGTACTATTGGTTGAACTCTGTAATTAACACACAATTATTCTTAGGTGTTTAAATTTTAACTGAAAAGTGATCATGTTAAATATAAGAGTGGGAATAAGAGAGAGAGGAGATGTACAAGTAGGGACATGCTCAATCGGACTTGCCCCAAATGGTGGAGTTAGAAACATACCAGGTATTCCAATTCAATCCCATCAAGGTGGCATGTACCAATGCCATCTCACTAGTCCAAGTGATCAATTTCAGTTCAAAATTGATCACACTGATAGGTCTAAGAGTCAAAGGGATCACACAAACAAGACTAGTGTCTGCTAATACTAACTGATAGAATAAAAAAGGGAGAGAACGATCCTTCATGGGAAGTGGGATACACAGCAGACTCAGAATGGCAGATGTCCTAAGTAGCACTCTGGCCTCAGAATCAGCCCTTAAGGCATTTGGATATGGCTGAAGAGCCCATGAGAGTATTTCAGGCATGGAAAGCCAAGACACTCTGGAAAAAAAAAAAAACCTAAATCAAAGATCTCTGCGAGTGATATCCCAGTAAAAAGAACAGGCCATCAAAGAAGGAGGTACCTTTCTCTGAAGGGAGGAGAGAACTTCCACTTTGACTATGACCTTGTCTAAACAAGATCGAAGCCTGTGAACTCAAAAGGCTTCCATAGCCTTGGAAATTCATGACTGGAGCATGGGGAGATTACTGATGCCATAAACAAGAGTGTCAAATTGTTAAGTCAACAACAGGAGTCACTGTGTACTTACTTCTCATGTGGGATCTGTCCTTAATATGTTGTCCAATGTGAAGTAATGCTATAACTAGTACTGAAACAGTATTTTACACTTTGTGTTTCTGTGTGGGTGCAAACTGATGAAATATTTACTTAATATATACTAAATCGATCTTCTGTATATAAAGATAATTGAAAAATGAATCTTGATGTGAATGGAATGGGAGAGGGAACGGGAGATGGGAGGGGTGCAAGTGGGAGGGAAATTATTGGGGGGAAAGCCATTGTAATCCATAAACTGTACTTTGGAAATTTATATTTACTAAATAAAAAAAAATTTGCACCTAGAAAAATAAATAAATTATTGGATATATACTCTATAGAATACTAACAGCGGCAAAAAAATAAATAAATAAAAGTGAAATCTGGTCATTTGCAACAAAATGGAGGAATCTGGAAAACATCATGCTGAGTGAAATAAGCCAGTCCCAAATGGATAAATATCATAGGTTCTCCCTGACCTGTGACAACCAACTGAGCACCTAAAAGGAAACCTGTAGGAGTGAAACTGACACTATAAGAAGAAATGACTTGATCAGCGCTTTTCATGACTGTCAAGGAACAGCTTTCTATTTTATTCTTTTTAGTATTTTCTTTTTCTTCTTAATACCATTGGTTGAACACTTTACTTAACACACATTATTCTTAGGTGGTTAAATCCAATTGAAAATTTATCCCTCTTTAAAATAGGAGTGGGAATATAGAGGGGGGAGATGGACAGTTCAGCACACGTTCCTTGGAGTTATCCCTAAGGGTAAAGCTAAAAACTTCCCATGGGACTCCAAATCTCATTAAGTTGGCAGGTACCAATGCCACCTTATTAGTTAAAGTGATCAGTTTAAGTTCATAAATGATCATAAAGATAGGATTAAGTGCCAAAGAAAAATGTCTGCTAATAACAATTCATGGAATTAACAGGGAGAGAACGATTCAACATGGAAAGCAGGCCACATAGCAGACTCATAGAATGGCAAATGCCCTAAACAGCACTCTGGCCTCAGAATCAGCCCTTTAGGCATTCAGATCTGTCTAGAAAGCTCAGGAGAGCATTTCAGGCATGGAAATCCAAGTCACTGTGGCAAAAATATACCTTTCATGAAAGATCTTTGTGACTGAGATCCCGGTGGAAAGGAGGCCATCAAAAGAGCAGGTAACTTTCTCTGAAGGGAGAAGAGAATTTCCACTTTGACTATGGCCTTGTCTAAACTCAAGAAGCATCCATAGCCTTGGTAGCTCATGACAAGAGCCTCGGTTGATCACTGACATCATAAATAAGACTGTCAATTGTTAAATCAACAACAGGAATCACTCTACACTTGTTCCCCATGTAGGGTCTCTGTCCTTAATGTATTGTGCTATGAGAATTAACAGTAAAACTAGTCTTCAAACAGTACTTTATCCTCTGTGTGTTTGTGTGGGTGCAAACTGTTGAAATCTTTACTTTTAGTACAGAGTTGATCTTCTGTATATAAAGATAATTAAAAATAAATCAATGAAGAGGGGATGGGAGCACTAGTAAGTGGTGGGATTGTTTGGGATTGTTTGGGATTGTAGGAGGGTGGGTATGGGGGGAAGAACCACAGAAGTTGTACTTTGAAAATTTATATTTATTAAATAAAAGCTTTCTATTAAAAAAAAAACCTGAATACAGACCTACCATATGATCCAGCCATCCCACTCCTGGGAATTTACCCAAACCAAAAGAAATCAGCACCTGAAGGAGTTATCTGTACCCTCATGTTCATTACAGCACAATTTTCAATAGCTAAGATATGGATTCACCCCAGACATCCATCAACTGTTGACTGGATAAAGGAATTATGGCATATATACACTATGGCTTACTACTCAGCTGAAAAAAATGAAATCCTGCCTTGTGCAATGATGCAACTGGAAACCATTATACTTAGTGAAATAAGCCAGTCCCAAAAAGATAGATACCATATATTTTTTCTGAACCAAGGTAACTATTACAGTACCTGAAATATAATGTATTGGAGTGAAACAAACATTTTGAGATTTAATAATGGTTTACAACCCTTGTCTCTTCTGCTGAAGAAGAGAGAGGTTTTTTCTTCACACTATTTGTTGAACTCTTTTACTTAGTGTAGGGTTAACCATACGATCATTAAGTAAACTGGAAATAGATCTTTGCAAAAATTAAGAGTTGGAATTGGAGAGGGAGGAGGGGGATGAGTTGGAGTGTGAGCAGGAGAGAGGCTAGGAGGGGAATTATCACTATGTTCCTAAATTGTATACATGAAATACATGAAACCTATATAACATAAATAAAATTTCTTTTAAAATAATGGGTTCTGATAAAGATGAGAATTATTCACTAAAATATTTTCAGAGACTAAACTTAATAGTACAGATCTAATTATATGTTCATTTTACTTATTGTTTGTATGCATTTTTAAATATAAACATAAATGAGTGACATAGGTATCCTGAGATTTGATTCTTATCTATAGCCCACGTAGACTATACTCCTGAGAAAGTGATCCACTTACTACTGGTTAAATTCCTTCTTTAGTAGAGGTTTAAGCATATGATTATAAAGTAGGCTGAAAGTATGTTATCACAAAAATTAAAAGAAATATAAAAGAAGGAGGATGAAGGGTGGGAGTGAGGGAGAAAGGGTGGGAAGTGTTGTTATTTTTCTTACATTGACATATAAATACATGAAATCTGTGCCCTTTAAATAAATAAATAAAATTTGAAAGTCTTAGTTATGCAAAGTAAAAAAACACTATTTTCTGATACAATTTCTAATAGTATACATTCAAAATCTGCAATGACTGAAAACTCCAGCCAAAGTCAACAATCACAGATATAGCTGTAACCAATGGAAAGATCCCAGCTTCCAGGTCCAAGTGCAGGGGCCCCTGAACCCATGTGGGTGACCCAGAAGAAGATCCAGGCACCTGGCTTCGATCAGCCCAGCTGCAGCCATTGCAGTTTTTTGGGAAGGGAACCAGCAGATGGAAGGCCTTTCTCTCTGTCTCTCCCTCTTATTGTAACTCTACCTCTCAAATAAAGAAATAATTTTTAAAAAATCATCCATTGCAATCCTGTTGACCTTGAAATGAGAGCAGGGTCATGATGCTATACCTTAATAAAACATCTCTAGATTCCATCAAGTGGGCAGTGTCTGTTCTGTTCCAGGGGAGGTTTACCTGCCAGGGAAGAATCTTGGGCTGGGATGCTTCTGCTAAGGATCTCATTTCTACTTTCTCCAAAATCATTTTATGGAGGACGTGGGCCACTGTGTAGACAGCATTGTAGACTAAATAGCTGGAGTCAGATATGGTCAGCAAGTCAATATGTCCTGGAAGAAACTCTAAGGAAGTATTTGGTGAGCAGGTTCCAATATGTCCACAAAATGATCCTTCAAGTGAGCAGGCCAGATGAAAAAGCCATAATTTACTGAAGTAAAAGTCTTCTGGGTAGTGAGAAGGCTTTGCCATCTTGACAAAAAGTTTGAGGCCAGGGATTTCTTCCTTGTGGGGTGAAAAAGAGAAGCCTCCATGCAAAGAGTGCAGCATGTGGTTTGTCTCAGAAATGACAAGATCCCACTTTGATGTCATGATCCACACCTTCCCCATGGTTAAATATGACTGCACTGAAATGTCCACACTGATGAGACCTCTTACATCACCATAGAGTATATGCACATTTGCAGATGAAACTCTGATGCTACTCATGAAAGTGAGATCACTATCCGCATACAACTTCTTTGTGACAGGGAGCTTAACTGTAAAGGCCACACAGATTCCTTTCTTGAGCATCGCTGCTTCAAAGTACTGAAGGAACTGCTCTCCCTTCATGTCATCAGACACAAAGAGAGCCACCCAAGTCCAGCCAAAATGCAGCAACAAGGAGATCATTCCATGGCCCAAAGAGCTGTCACTGCTGGCCATCTGATAGAGTGAGGGAAACTGGTCCTTATCATTTAGCATGGGATCAAAAGGGCCATAGGTGAGCTAAAAGCAAAGAAAAACACAATCAAACTTTTGTGGGATTTGGGTTGTTTCTCGGAACAAGGGATTCCTTCTGCAGTATGCTACTGAGTAAAGACAAAGTGCATGGCAGGAATGGAAAAATCCTGCTATCTTGGCCACAGAGAAGACCATGCTTCACATGCTATTGCTTTAGGTTAATAAATGTACATTTAAAGAAAATCTGTCAGTTTCTGTATGCTCTTCCTGTGCTGCAGTGGGGACTGAGGAAGAAGGAACTTTGGATGCTACTTCACCCAGCCAGTGGTCTTTCCCCATCCTTTCCCAGGGTGACTGGTGGAGCAGAGCCACCTCCTCCAGCAGCCACCATTGTAGATAACTCTGAGACAGAAATCTCTACTGTGTTGATCTCTTTGTATCTGGAGTGCACTGATTACCACAGGAATCCTGCATTATCTCCAAGGATACAATCACCAACCCTCTTTGATTTGGGGCAAAATAATTTTTCCAAACCAGAATCCTCTAATCACCAGGTGGCCTATGTTTGGCATATACATGTCCTGATTTTTGTTTGTGTAGCAGGTCCCTGGTGAAGTATCTCTAAGTTGCTAGTGCAGACTCTGGGAGACAATAATTATAGCTCAAGTAATTTGATTTATTACATTCATATGGGGTTTCATTCCTGGCTCTATGCTTCTGCTGTGGCAGATTAAGTCCAACATCATGGGAGGTATTGGTGAGTGAACCAGCAGGATGGGAATTCTGTCCGTCTGTTTTGTGTGTGTGAGTGTGTGTGTGTGTGTGTGTGTCTATGTGTGTATTTCTCTGGCCCTCAAATAAAAACAGCAAGACATGAGGACTAGTAAGCACAATTATGACTGGGAATGCTGCAAAGAAATCGATTTGTGTGCCTGTGAAAAAAGGATGATTGGGCACAGGGATTAGGTGAATTCCAGTCTAACTTGAATTGAGCCTCAACATTCTGGGTGTAGCCAGTTTGGGTCAGATGAGTTAAGTTCCAACTTGTAACACCAGCATCCCATTTCAGAACTCCATCCAGTTCAAGGCTTGGCTACACCACTTCTTATCCACCTTCCTGCAAACATGCCTGAAAAGGCAGCAGAACATGACACAAGTGCTTGACCACAGCCACTTAACTGGGAGATCTGCATTCAGTTCCTAGCTCCTGGCTTCTACCTGACTCATATATGGCTATTGTGGGCATTTATGGAGTAAACCTGTGAATAGAAGCTCTCTCTCCCATTCTCTCTCTCCCTTCCGCTCTCTCTCTCCCTCTCCATGTTGGGGGGTGGGGGGTGTAACTTTCCCAATCCCTAATGCTTTCAAATAAATCGATCATCTTAAAAACTGCCTTGGAAATCTTTGGAACTCACATAGCCATCAGACTTGCCCAAACAGAAACCATATGTGCAAGTCTTTATATCTTGACATCTAATATTGCTTGGTCTCTGGATCCCTCCCAAGACAGTGCTGCACTAGGACAGGATACCTCTGTGTGCTGTGGACATGTCTGATGCAGTATGGAGCTGTATTTGCCAATGTCTCCAGCTGGTGGGGGATGGATACACAGGCCCTAGACAGTCATCTGGGGGGAGGCTCTCAGCATTCCCTGCTACTTCCTTTTGTTTCTTCTCCCTCCACTATTAATCACCCCAGGAATTCCCATGGGGTCAGTCTCATACCACAGGGAGATGCCGCATTTCCCTTTCTTCAGAGGTGAGAGAATAGTGTTGGAGGAGATTCAACTATTGTTCTCCAGATTCACAACTCATTACCTGTGGGGTTTTGTAGAGCTCCAAAAGCGTTCCAAATTCAACAGACAATGCTGATGTGGTTCCAGCAATGATGGCAACATGTCTGCCTTGTGTATGGCAGGTGTAGTTAGGTAAAGCTATAGTGGCCCCAAACAACCAATACACTATGCTCAATAAGGTGTACTGTTCACTGGCAAAGGCATTGTAGAATTTGAAACCGAGGGTCAGGTTGGGGAGTAGCTGGGGGTTTTTATTGATCTCCTGGATGGCAAAGCGGAAGGCCAGCACATATTGGTAGTTCTTCCACAGCCACCTAAAGAGAGGAGCAGCATCAGGGAGAAGGGTGAGACTATGGAATTCGGAGCAACAACAATGCCACGCCCTGAGGAAGCAATGATCAGACTCAGGCTTCCACTCAGTGGTGCCTCAGCTCTAGCAAAAGGAGGAGGTGTGAGTGAAGTTCCAAGTGCTCTAGAAGATTGTGGAATGGCCCTTGAACTCCTCTGAAATAAACCATGTCTGTTCTCACACTCACCTTCAGGAACCCTTTAGGAAAGCCTTGATGTGTCCCAACTTAAGGACAACACCCAGGAGCAAGCATTTCTGTTTTCAGTATTTTCTGGAGTAGGCTGAATACCACCTGACTCATCAGTTGTCCCAAATTTTAGAACATTCTCCTCTTCAGCTAGGTCCATCTGAGCCATTTGACCCTGTCCTTGCTATAATTTCCTAATACAATATTTCACTCCGTTCAAGTCAGCTTTAACTTTTTGTTTTCTTTCAAACATAAGAATTTATCCATAAACTCTGTTGGATAATTGGAGATGTTCACTTGGTTTTCATTTTTCTCTGTATTGAATTATCATTTCATATTTTATATTTGCATATTCTCTCCATTTTTCTAAATAACTTAAGTGAAAATTTGATTTCTTAGAATTTAAGAAGAGCTTTCCTGTTTTATGTACCTAAAAGGGTATATGTTCTGTTATCTCACTATGTATTCCTTTGGAATTCTGGATTTTTCTAATTTCTTACATTTCTTCCATAATTTGAATGCTAAGAAAATTCCTTTCTGGTAATAAGTTACACGGGACTCAATATATTTATCCAGTCATTCCTTTAGTCCTTTGTACTTGGATATGTTTCTATTTGGGGCATAACTAAGAATTTGTCCTTTTCCTCAATATTACAATATATATTCATACAGTTTGTAATTGGCAGTGCTTTGCTTATAGTTGAAAGGTATTTCTCTATTATGTCACACAGTGTTGTACATGTTATTCTTATATGTGGAGTTTGAAATTTAATTGTATCTGATAGGTAAAAATCACCATTCTATACACATATAATCCCAGGAGGTTTTCAGATCGTACAGAGGACTTTCTTGTTAACAATGAAGTTGACCTGAGAAATAAATTGTGTTCCTGGCATGTGTCCATAGCTTAGCTCTATTTATTTGAATGATAAATTAAAACCATTGAATAGACTTTTTTCTTTTATACATTGGCCTTCCTAGTATAATATTTCATTTCAAAGGGCATAACGCATTCACCCCAGGATATCTATAGCACTTGCTATCAGCTTAAAGTTGGCTAGCTTAATTCTTTTGTCCCTGAAGACAATGTTGAGAAAAGTATACTAAATATTGCTGCAAGCCACAGCATGGATAAAACAGGAAAACATGGTGCACTGCAAGATGTCATCACAAAAGACCACAAAGGATATGAATCAATTCACATGAAGTGTCCATAACAGGCTGATCCTTACAGACACAAGACAAATGAGTGGTATGCAGGAGAGAAAGAATGAAGGATGTGGAGACACTGAAAAGGAGTGTGGGGATTTGTAAGCGGGTGATGAACATCTGCAGTTTTATCAGCAATGATTTGGTAACTATTTTAAAGAACCTTGATAAAAAAAACTTTATCTCATTATTCAATGATGCATCCTATCATCTCAGAAAAATATACAGTTTATTAAATAAAAATTATCATTAGAATATTACAGTCACACAAAATGAATGCCAAGTCAAAGGCCAAATACTGGGCAAACAAGTATGGGATATGCACATAAAATAATTCCCATCAGTCAGGCAAGTAACAACGTATCTTCCATCAGCTGTAGGGAAGTTATTTCCCTGTATTGAAGCTGGAGCTTGAAGTCAAACTCCAGAAAGCATCAATCATCTGAGCCCATCAAGGGGATTGAAGCATATGCAATTTTAGACTGTGACAAGCACAAGAGGGCTGGCAGGTCTGCACAAAATAGAGTGGCCAGACACTTTTTTACCTGGGGAAGAGAAGGCAGAGAGAAAAGCCTGGCCTCATCTCCATGGCATGATCTAAAGCTTTCACCCTAAGATTACCAAAAGGCAGGTCCTCCCTGTCTCCCACACAGCATCCCTGAGATGAGAGATTAACTCACCTTCAGATAATCACATCCTATCTCCCTATATCAGACAGAGTACAATCCGTAGCTGCCGCACAACCAGAAGATTCACATGCTTAAAATGTTTACCATAAATGTCCCATTAGGCATCTTGGCTAAGAATATACAAATTAAGAACAGACAAAATCAATGAAACATTGAGAAGGGACAGAACACTGTGAAAACACAGACTAGGAGAGAGCACACACTAACACTGTGCCTCAAAGGTCACCAGCCACATTATCAGTTGCCCCCAGTGCTTGGCAACCTGCTGAACTGATAAGCATTAAATTCCAAAAGGCACTGACAAGCACCAACACACACCATTTAAACCAACATCTCTCCACCTCACCCTCTTCTGAACACATGAGCATATGGTTCTCTGCAGTGAGTCAGAAGCACACTCCACTGTCACCACCACCAAGGGTGCAGAGACAGGATGTCTGTTTCTAATCCTCACCACACATTAATGTTAACAGTTACTAAAACACATGCTGCTCAGGTGCGTCAAGCCCAGAATTAATGCAGTTTCTGTGTGGTTCCTGGAGAAGAACCTTCAGGATCCAAGTGACAGAATTGGAGAAGATAAACCCCTTTCTCCTTATGACTTTCAGGGACTTGATGCCTGCAGTCTGTTGGGGCTCAGTTATTGACATGTGGTTAGACACCGTCTGTTATGGTGGCACATCTCAGACACACATGGACTCACTCTCGGTTGCATTTTGACAATGCTCTTGTCAGCACTGACACTCAGAGTGACCCCTTAATCCTAACGCTGACCCCAGACCAGGGTCTCAGTGTCTCAGGACACCTGTGCTCACTCCATGCAAGCAGGTAGGATGGGATCTGGAGTCCCCACATTATGACCAGGCCTGCTCCTGAGATATCCAAGAAAATGGATTGGGCACAGAGATATTAATGTCACTGCTCTGTCCTTGAAGAAATAAGAAGCAAATAGAAAAATGAACAGGAAGACATGGAAGGAACAAGAAAGGAAGGAATCTGTGCCCTTCTTTATTGGCATTTCTGCCACTTTTTGCATACCTTCCAGAATTCTCAGAAAGGATTAAACACAGTAATATACACTCACATTCTATCATAACCACACTTAATACATGCATACAATCTTGAACTTACCAAGACACAACAGTTCTATGCTTGGGAGGATATATAAAAGACATCTGGAGCTTTTCAGTTTCTGGTTCTGGGTAGTAGAGAGGGAAAAATCCACCCAGGATCAGGTCTCCATCTTGGTTGATACTTGGCTTAAGGTAATGATGGCATTGGCTGTAAGTCATGCCCTGTGAAGTGTGTATAGTGTGCAGGAGTAGGCACAGAAGGCTCATAGACAACATCTTGCCAGGGTTATCACAATGCAGAGATGAAGCCCAAAATGTCAGTTGAGAGAAGGGAACAAGGAGCTGGCAGGTGGTGGCTGGCTCAAAAACCTGTAGAGAATTGCTCCCTGTGCAGGGCGCAGCTGATTCCCAGTATTGCTGTGTGCCAATCTAGTGAGTCAGAAAGGGGCACATCTAGCAACTACAGGCAGTCATTTCTAAGGAAGTGAGACATGCAGTGAGACATTGCCCTTAGTGTCCCTGTGATCAGCACAGCACTTGGAGCTCGGCCTTTTCATTGCTTCACTGTGTCTCATACAGAAACTCAAGGGATCACCCTGCCCTGGGGCCCTGCACCTGTCACCCTCCATTCTGGGGGAAAACACATTTGAAAAACATGTTTTGGACTCTCATTCCTTTCCTCCTTGTGTGATTTCATCATGGCCCAACAAGGCACTGGGGACCACTGAATGATTGGACAGCGCACAAATGGCTGTTAGTCCAGTGCCCTTCTTGGTGTGTTTGGCTAGTTCTGAAAGAGTTGGTGCTGGGATCAACAAAACATCCAGTTGCATCATTCCACATATCTGCAGGATAGAAGTCAAGGGCTGATATTCATCACTGATGACTCTGTGCTCCCCACCCAGTCTCTTCATTGCTGTGTCTAACTAATATCACTCTCAAGTCTACAGAACTCTGCTGGGAAAAAATAGGCTTTGTGATTGTAAATGTGTAGGCATATCCAGAAAAGGGTACAAGTTCACTCCCATATGTACCTCTGCACACTATTAATCCAGTTTCCCACTTCACTGATGCTCTCCCCATTCAGAATTCTGGAAGCCCCGTCAGCATTACATGGTTTCCATGTGACAAATGAAAGGAACTATGCTCTGCTCCAAACACTGACTTCCTCATCACACTTATTTTCCCTCACTTTTCAGAGAAGACATTCTCAACAGAATTTCCTTGCATGTTTTCAATGGATTACTTTAAATTGTATAGATTTTGCTTCCAAGGAAATGACTCAATTTGATATCTATATACATTGCAGTTAGCTCCATTCAAGTATTTACTGTGTATTTTACTTCACATGCTTCTCATCTGTATATGTTGACTGCACTTAAAGTCTACTGACTAAGTACTTTGCAAGTGGACAAAATGGTGTCCCTGTTTCCCTATGACGACGTGCAAGACAGCACTTGAACTCACTGGTCTTGCCTAACTGAAATTCTGATTCCTTTGACCAATATCTCCCTGGGTCTCTAAACTCCCAGCCTGGCAACCTTGGTTCTTTTCTACTTCTGTGAAAAATGACATAAGAATTTTGTCAGGATTGCACTACATCACTTTATGGCTTTCAGTATTATGTACATTTTAACACGATTAGTCCTTCCAGGCCATGAACATGGGATTTCTTTCTATTTATTTCTGTGTTCTAAAATTTATCTCAAGATTTTACAGTTTTCAGTTTACAGATATTTCACTTCCTTCCTCAATTACTATATAGCTTCTTTCTTTAAGATTTATTTCTTTATTTGGAAGTTAGAGTTACACAGAAAGAAAAGCAGAGGCAGAGAGACAAGTCTTCCATCCGCTGGTTCACTCCCCAACTGGCCGCAATAGTTGAAGCTGTGCCAATCCAAAGCCTGGAGCCAGGAGCTTCTTCTGGATCTCCAATGTGAGTTCAGGGGCCCAAGCTCTTGGGCCATCTTCTACTGCAGAGAGCTGGATTGGAAGTGGAGCAGCCAGGACTCAAACCAGCATCCATATGGGATGCCACCGGCAGCTTTACGCACTGCACTGCAGTGCTGGCCCCTATCTATAGCTTCTTCATCATGCTTGTGCCCTTGATGATTGTTATTCTTCACTGTGAGAAATGCAGTGGCAGCCCCATGGCCTTCAACAATAGACCAGATCTCCATTCCACAAGACTCACTCACCTGCTCATGAAGTGGAACAAAAAGTGCTTACTCAATAAACACCTGAAGTATAAGTAACTGATGGAATAACGGTGCCATGCAACAAAAATCAGAGGGAACAAATGTTCCTTAGGTCAGGAAGGTATAGGACTAATTAGGTGTGAAAAGATGTCACATTTTCTAGATTTCCTTCAAGAACTTTTTTTAACTTTTATTTAATGAATATAAATTTCCAAAATACAGCTTATGGATTACAATGGCTTCCCCCCATAACGTCCTTCCCACCTGCAACCCTCACCTCTCCCACTCCCTCTCCCCTTCCATTCACATCAAGATTCATTTTTGATTCTCTTTATATACAGAAGATCAGTTTAGCATACATTAAGTAAAGATTTCAACAGTTTGCTCCACACAGAAATATAAAGTGAAAAATAATAGATGATTTTTTAAATGATGATGAAATCAGATCAGACCTATTGCCATGTTTAATCCCAGTGAGAGTCAAGTTGGGAATTGATAATTTCTTCTACTTCTTTTTTTTTTTTTACAGAAGATCAGTTTAGTATACATTAACTAAAGCTTTCAACAGTTTGCACCCCCATAGAAACACAAAGTGAAATATACTGCTTGAGTACTCGTTATAGCATTAAGTCTCAATGTACAGCACGCTAAGGACAGAGATCCTACATGAGGAGTAAGTGCACAGTGACTCCTTTTGTTGACTTTACAAATTGACACTCCTGTCTATGGCATCAGTAATCTCCCCATGCTCCAGTCATGAGTTTCCAAGGCTATGGAAGCCTTTTGAGTTCTCCGACTCTTATCTTGTTTAGAAAAGGTCATAGTCAAAGTGGAGGTTCTCTCCTCCCTTCAGAGAAAGGTACCTCCTTCTTTGAAGACCTGTTCTTTCCACTGGGATCTCACTCCCAGAGATCTTTCATTTAGGTTTTTTCTTTTTTTGCCTGAGTGTCTTGGCTTTCCATGCCTGAAATACTCTCATGGGCTTTTCAGCCAGATGGGAATGCCTTTAGGGCTGATTCTGAGGCCAGAGTGCTGTTTATAACATCCGCCATTCTATGAGTTTGCTGAGTATCTCGCTTCCCATGTTGGATCACTCTCCCCTTTATTTATTCTATCGGTTAGTATTAGCAGGTACTGGACTTGTTTATGTGCTCCCTTTGACTCTTAGTCCTTTCATCATGATCAGTTGTGAACTGAAATTGATCACTTGGACTAGTGAGATGGCATTGGTACATGCTACCTTGATGGGATTGAATTGGAGTCCCCTGGTATGTTTCTAACTCTACCATTTGGGGCAAGTCAGCTTGAGCATGTCCCAAATTGTACATCTCTTCCCACTCTTATTCCCACTCTTATGTTTAACAGGGATCACATTTCAGTTAAATTTCAACACTTAAGCATAACTGTGTATTAATTACAGAATTAAACCAGTCATATTCAGTAGATATGGTAGAATGGTAGAGTTGGAAACATACCAGGGGACTCCAATTCAATCCCATCAAGGTGGCATGTACCAATGCCATCTCACTAGTCCAAGTGTTCAATTTCATTTCACAATTGATCATAATGAAAGGACTAAGAGTCAAAGGGAGGAATCTATCCATTTCTGATAGATTTTCTTGTTTGCTGGCATACAAGTCCTTGTAGTAATTTCTGATGATTCTTTTTATTTCTGGGGAGTCTGTTGTTATGTTTCCTTTTTCATCTCTGATTTTATTGATTTGGGTCTTTTCTCTTCTTTTTTTAGTTAGTTGGGCCAATGGGGTGTCAATTTTGTTTATTTTTTCAAAAAACCAGCTTCTCGCTTGGCTGATTTTTTGTAATGTTTTTTTTATTCAATCCTGTTAATTTCTTCTCTGATTTTCATTATTTCTCTTCTCCTACTAGATTTGGGTCTGGTTTGCTGCAAATTTTCTGGGTCCTGGAGATGCGCTGAAAGCTCATTTATTTGGTGCCTTTCCAATTTCTCGATATAGGCACCTATTGCTATAAACTTGCCTCTCAATACTGCTTTTGAGGTATCCCATAAGTTTTGATATGTTGTGTTGTTATCTTCATTTACTTCCAGAAAGTGTCTGATTTATCTTTTGATTTCTTGAATGACCCAGTGTTCATTCAGGAGCATTTGTTCAGTCTCCATGTGTTTGCATACTTTCTGGGGTTTCCTGAGTTGCTAATTTCCAGCTTCATTCCACTGTGGTCTGAGAAGCTGCATAGTATGATTCTAATTCTATTAAATTTGCTGAGACTTGCTTTATGGCCTAGTATGTGGTCAATCCTAGAGAAGGTTCCATGCACTGCTGAGAAGAATGTAAAGTCTTTAGATGTAGGATTGAAAGTTCTGTCAATATCTGTTAGATCCATTTGGGCTACAGTGTCGATTAAATCTACTGTTTCCTTGTTGATCTTCTGTCTGGATGATATGTCTATTTCTGAGAGTGGAGTATTGAAGTCCTCCAGTACTATTGTATTGGAATCTAAGTCTCCCTTTAAGTCCCTTAACATATCTTTTAAATAGACCGGTGCCCTGCAATTAGGTGCATATACATTTATAATAGTTCCATCTTCCTGTTGAATTGAACCCTTAATCATTATATAGTGCCCCTCTTTGTCTCTCTTAACAATTTTTGTATTAAAGTTTATTTTGTCTGATATTAAGATGGCTACACCTGCTTTTTTTTTGTTTTTGTTGGCATGGAATATCTTTTTCCAACCTTTCACTTTCAGTCTGCAGGCATCTTTGTTAGAGAGATGTGTTTCTTGTAGGCAACAAATAGTTGGGTGTTGTTCCTTAATCCAGTCAGCCAGTCTGTCTTTTAACTGGACAGTTCACGCCATTCACGTTTAATGTGACTATTGATACATAGTGACTTTGCCCTGCCATTTTCCAAGAGATATTTTCTAGTATATGCTTTGAGCTTCCCATGCTCTTTTACTGGTGGTTTTTATTCCTTTCCCTTCTTTCATATTGATGGTCGTGTTTCTGTGTTTCTGAGTGTAGCACATCTTTAAGTATCTTTTGCAGGGCCGGACGAGTGGCCACAAAGTCTTTCAATTTCTGTTTGCTGTGAAAGGTCTTGATTTCACCTTCATTCACAAATGAGAGCTTAGCATGATATAATATTCTGGGCTGGCAATTTTTCTCTCTTAGCACCTGTGCTATGTCTTGCCGTTCCCTCCTAGTCTGTAGTGTTTCTGATGAGAAGTCTGCTGTGAGTCTGATTGGAGATCCTCTGAGAGTAATCTG